ATTTATTAACGAACGAAAACGAAAAACGAGAAAATGCAATAACCGTGGGTTGCCTCCCACGAAGCGCTCAATTTATTGTCTTGAGCTCGACTTTCCCTACAAAAAATCAACCGGGATCTAGGAAAAAGTGACGATCATGCCACGCCTTTGTATTTTCTAAGAGAAGTCCCGACGGTAGTACGGAACAAAGGCGGGCAAGGTAAGCTCTCGTGGCCGCGTTCTTGTAAAACCGAGCACGGATATCAACAACCACCAATAGGAGAAATGAATCTTTACGAACCAAGGCCCCACACTCGACCTCCAAAAATATAAAAATATCCATGGAGCACGTCGAATCAATCCCGGGCATCGTTTACACTATCTCGAACGTGTACTCATCAAGCTCAAGCATCGGGAGCACGGGCGTAGGCAAACTAAACTCCTCCAAATGGTCACGATCCTCAATAATACGAAACGACGACCCAAAGGACATATGAACCACGTCATACTCAACATCACAAGTCGACCCATCAATCAAAGCACACCTCGGGTCCACGACATCACATAATAGCTCGGAATCCTCCTCAACAACATCCACAAAATCATCAACTACCACATCCTCCTCCTCAATATCATCCTCCCAAGCACTATCAATACCGTTCGACACAATCGAACCCTCAAATGAATTCTCTCCCATCCCGTACACAATATCAACACCCGATTCCTCATGCTCACTCTCAACACTAGAATCAAAGCTCAAAGCACTATCACCGGATATATAAAATGCAACTTTTTCAATTTCTCTCTTTCGTCTTCTCATTATATATGTCGACATACCTAATGTAGAATGCACGGCCGAATCGTCAAGAAAGGGAATTTCTTTAACAATCAAATCGTCGATGTCCTCACTCGGGTCGAGTGATTGTGTTCCATCATAAACGAGAGTGAGGCCCACATCTTTCAAGGAGACAAACCTATCCACCATAGCTCGAAACTCGCCTTCTAACCGAGTGCTCTCTCGAATAACCCTCGCTGATAGAGAACAATATCTACCGAGCAGAATGTGAGATGCATCCAAATCAAGGAAAGAGAACACGGTAGAGTCGAACTTCATGAGTGTAACTTGAAGAACGGATGGAATTGGAATGCACCTCCAACTATGAAACTCCTCAATGATCGACATAAGGCTCGCAAGTGCCTCTTGAGTGCTCGCCAAAACCTCTCGGTGAAGTTCGAAAGGCACAACCATTGTTGGAAATGAAGTTTCGGCACTCGATGTACAAGGTTGGCCCCGATAAGTGTTCGTATGATGGAGAGGGTGGGGCATAGGACTCGGTTTCTTCTCTCTCGATATGGAAGCCACTGAAGCGCGAAGTGATCGATTGCACTCCTCTAAGTGCTCCATAATCTCGTCAAGATTGACTCGAGAAGCTTCTTGAGTTGGCTCGGGCGGAGGTGTCTCTTCATAATAAACGGGAGGTGGTGGATAGTAGTGAGGCGTCTCGTCATGACCCGGAGAGTAATAATCAAAATCAACTTGAGATGGTGGGTAAGAAGGGCTCGGATATGGATAGGGCGGCCCTCCATACGAGTATATCTCCCCATGGTAGTTGTCGGGGTATCCACAAGACGAGCTACCGGCATAAGTATAGCCGTACGGGTCCATCAGAGCGTCTCAGGCGAAGTACCTCGCACAAGAACAACAATACAACCAAGGCACACGAGGCAAAAGAAAGAAAACACAAAACAAAACTAAAACGACACGATATATACACGGACACACATACCAAAAAACAAGAGAAATCGAAAAACAAAGCAATAATCAAGAGAAACACGCAAAATCAAGCAAAATCCACAAAAAACAAGAGAAACACAGAAACAAATGACAACTAGATAGCAAACTTGGCGTCCTACTCGCCTTCCCCGGCAACGACGCCATTTTGTTTGTAGTATTTTTGGGCATGTGGTAACCGAGTTATCCGACTCGGGTCGTTCTCAAAGGAAGGCTCTTCGGAGCTTCGTTCACTATCTAGTCGTCAAAGTCACACAACCAAAAAGCTCATAAACATTCTACTCGCAGATTGGGGGGGTTTGAATTTAAATTAGATTAATCTACGAAACGAGAGCAATTGAAAGCAATTAACTAAGCACGCAAAAAGATGAGAGAAATCAAGGGGGAAAGAGAGATTTTAGTTTGTCGGAGTCTCCATGATCAATCACACGCAAATAACCGAACATTGCCATGCTAGCTAAAACCCTAGGAAGCTAAACCCAACTCTAGCACAAGACAAGCAAGCATTCAACTCCTAACCACACTTAGTCAAGCATTCACGATATAAAGATTCAATCTTTTCCTCCAAGCAACACAAGCACAATATCAATTTTCACAACAAGCAAATAACGATATACGAAGTAATGGGGCTTGAGAAGAAAACCGGAGTCAAAAGCTCGGAACTTTACTCGAAACAATATCGCCGGAAATTCGCCGAAAAACTTGATTCATAAGCTCCAAACCAAAGCATAAAAAGGAAAAAGAGAAAATAGAGAGGAATTCCCAACTTAAAAGTTGGAAAAATGAGGGTTGTGTTCAAAATACAAAGCAAGATGTCTATTTATAGCTACACCAAACACACACTAAAAACATGCACATTTAATAACACACTCTCTAACTCTCCACCATTTTCGCGAGCACGCGAGCAAGGATGCGCACGGGCGCACTGGGCTGCGACACTCTCGACCTCACCATCAATTTCGCGAGCACGCGGGAAGGCGAACGCACGGGCGCGCACGGGCAGTGCATGGGTGCGCGACACTCTCGACCTCGCGCTCATATCCGCGAGCACGCGAGTATGCTGGACGCTGGGCGGACTCTCGACCTCGCGCTAGTATCCGCGAGCACGCGAGTGTGTGCTGGCAGGGTCACGCGGGCGCTGAACTCGCGGGTTACATCCAATTCGCGCGCGCGGAACTTGAATTCGCAGGCACTGGGCGCAAAACTCGCGGGCTACGCAGCATTCGCGGGCGCAAACTCAAATTTGCGGGCACTGGACGTTTGAACTCGCGGGTTAGGGCCATTTCGCGGGCGCGAACGGCAATTCGCGGGCAAGGCTACAGTGGCTTGGTGTGCGGGCATGTGCGACTTCGTTTCGCTCTAACTTTTCGCACACAACTCCGATTCGCACGAAATTTAGACCAAAATTCTCCTCATTGAATTCTCTTCGTCCCGGTATGGCTTGGTCGGATTTTCCGGATTGGACGGCTCGGTCGGTTTGGACGGCTCGTCTCCTCGTTGTCGACAAGTTGGACCTATTCAACACCAAAACAAAAGAGAAAACGCGCAAAAATACGAAAACACTATACAATAACAAAAATACACAAAACATGATAAAATGGACCGGTCGACACTAAAACGAGCCTAAAAACTATATAATAAAACACACAAAACACATGAAAATAACAACAAAAACACAATAAACAGCCTAGTATGTAATATAAAAATTACTAATTGTTTAGTAAATACTTTTTATAGATTGATCTACAATTATGCTAAATATATTTAAACAAGATGTATATACACATGACAACCTTATGTAAATATTTTGAATCCCCTCTTCACAAAAACTTTATGTTTATAGCTTTTTCAAGATAAACTTTTCGAAGCCAAAACATAAAATAAAATTTAAAACTCTATTTATTAAACATTTTTTTTTTTTGGTACTGAGAGAGGAGAGGAAGCTTAAGAAGCTATCCTACGTGGGTAAGATACTCCAATCTCATCGTGCTCCAGCCATGACTTCAAACCAGATGGCGGGAACTTCAAACGCTGCAAACTACCCGGGCTAGTTGCCGCTAAAGAAGCCAAGTAATCAGCCGAGAAATTTGATTCCCGATAGACATGCCGAATAAGTACAGTCCAATCACGCTCCATCAGCTCCTTCGTAGCTAGTATTAGGCTACTATGCACCCCTTCGACATTAGCCTGACCATTCAACCAGTCCACAACCACCTTATTGTTTACATCTACTATAACACGGCGATATCCCAAGTCCCATTTATTAAACATATTGAAAATAGAGTTTCATTAGTCAAATCTCTACTTGAAGTTCATACCTGAAAATAGAGTTTCATTAGTCATAGTGCATGTAAATACACTCAATTTATCCTCAATATCTCAAAGAAGAACATGGAAAGTAAAAAAAAAAAA